CCCTTCCTCATGCTATCCAGAGGCTCGATCTGGCTGGTCGCGATCTGACCGAGTTCATGATGAAAATTTGACCGAACGAGGTTACACCTTCACTACTACGGCTGAGAGGGAGATCGTCCGTGACATCAAGGAGAAGTTGTCTTACGTCGCACTTGACTTTGACACTGAGATGAAGGCCGCTGCTGAGAGTAGTGAGAAGGAGAAAACGTACGAGTTGCCCGATGGCAACATTATAACTGTTGGTAACGAACGCTTCCGCTGTCCAGAAGTACTCTTCCAGCCCACTTTCATTGGTAAGGAGGCCAGCGGCATCCACGATACCACTTTCCAGTCTATCATGAAATGCGACGTGGATATAAGGAAGGATCTGTACGCCAATGTTGTCCTTTCTGGAGGCACTACGATGTTTAATGGTATTGGTGAGAGGATGACTAAGGAGCTCACTGCTCTGGCCCCCTCTACTATGAAGATCAAGGTCGTGGCTCCTCCTGAACGCAAGTACTCGGTCTGGATTGGAGGCTCTATTTTGTCCTCTTTGTCGACCTTCCAGCAGATGTGGATCTCCAAGCAGGAGTATGACGAATCTGGACCTACTATTGTGCATCGTAAATGCTTCTAATTGCATGTGTCATCAGCAATGGAAGGTTGCATTACCAACATGCGGTGGTGCCTCTTCGTTGTGTTATTACTACTACTGGTTACCGATGGGCAATAAGCCTACTATTTAAAGATGCTGCTGGGGATTGCATGAGTAATACTAATATGAGTACAACTAATATGAGACGCCATCACTGTGTTGGAGGCGACAATGACACGTCAAGTATTGCTCCATTCTGTACGCCTTCCGTTCGACTCCGAGCCGACGAACAGGCCAAGCTGAACAATGCAGTCATAAATCTGATCGGGGCGAGTGCCATCCCATTTTCGATGGTTGAAAGACCGGAGTTTGTGGAACTACTGCAACTCGTATCCGATATGTCATTCCGATCGAAGAAGCCACTGGATATATCAGCCAGCTTGAAGAGCGAGAGGACTCTTCGTCGGTCAGCAAAAGAGCAGAGCCAGTCACGTCG